GACAGCTATGATGAACCCATAAGAGTTTGCCACGTGTCCAGGGAATATAAACCGATTCAAAAACAACGGCTGAAAAGACAGTTTGACCAGACTAATTGATAGCACGGTATGGGTTTAGTTCGGTTGGAAGGCTGAAGATTTTCTTAGCTCGGCTGGTAGCAGGTAATCCCTATCATGCTGCGCAGATGGAAATTAAGGGGAAATTGAGAGAGTAATTTATATATAAATTGGGCCGAGCTAGGTAATGGGTCATTCTGTGGGCCACGGTGAGAAGGGCAGAGTAAAAGGGCCTTGTAATTAGTCCGGTCCGAAGGAGCTTGGTGGTTAGCTCGGTCGCCAAGGTTGGCGCGATAACAGTTAGCTTGGTCATACTATGTTGGGCCGAAGTATGTTGAACTTTCCTCAGAACCTTGCTATTGGTTAGCTCGATCCAAACTCATTGTGGATAGCACGGTTTCGGGCAACCCAGTTGGAATGTCAGCCGAGGTACACGCGCAGTGAAAGGAAGAACCGAGCTAGTTGGAGCTCGGTCTAGTCTGCGGCTTTAGCATGGCCATGTTATCTCGGTCGTATTGACATCCAACCGTGGTAAAACCATCTCACTTGGTTTAAGCAGTGAGGGGGGTGTTGAAGGATAAGCATTATCTTTCAAGAATGTGATTCCTAGGAGGACTCTACATGGAAGAGTAAGAGTCCTACTAGGATTGTGCCACACGGAACCTATAAAAGCTCATAACATCACCTATGGAGAGGTAACACAACCACTACAAGAATTAACACTTTTAGCAACAAAAAAATTGGTCGCTAAAAGTCTATTTTTGGTCGGCAAAAGTTATCCGCAACCAAATTTTTTGGTCGCTACTTTGGTCGCCAATTGAGGGTCGGCAAAAGTAATTCGCGACCAAAATTATGGTTGGTCGGCAAAAGTTGGATTTTGCCGACTAAATTTTTGGTCGCTAAATATTCAATTACCGCGACTAATTTATTTTGTCGCCAAAACACTTTGGTCACGAAAAGTGATATTTTCCTGACCAAATTTCTTAGTCGCCAATTGTCACATTTGGCGACCAAAAAGTTTGGTCGCCAATTATTACATTTCGCGACCAAATTTTTTGGTCGCCAATTATCACATTTCGCGACCAAAAAAATTGGTCGCCATTTGTGTCTTTTCGCGACCAAAACTTTTGGTCGGCAAAAGTGAGATTCCACGACCAAGAGCTGTTTTGGTCTGCAATACATGTATTTTTTGCGACCAAAACTCTTGGTCGGCAATTGTCATTTTTTGCGAAAAAAAATAATTTTGGATGTCGCGACCAATAAATTGGTCGTCAAAGCAGGAAAACAATACACCTGTAATGATGTTATAATTCAATCAATCCATAATAAACCTATAATTTTAAAGCATCACTCAAATTAACTGAATCATTAACATTCGACACAATACATAATTCATTAACATTCGACACAATACAACTATTCTTCACAAGTCACATCCATCTAGCATAACAAATTGAAACAATACATAATTCAGAAAAGCAAGTAAAGGCTCACAGCACTTAACCGTTTCATCAGTCGATTCTCTGATCGGATGAAGCCCTTCTTCCAACTTCTAAGGAAGAAAGCAAACTTTGAATGAGGGAGCCAGTGCTCTAAAGCACTGGAAAATTTGAAGAAGTATTTGTCCTCACCTCATCTTCTATCCACCCCTGTCGCCAATGAAGAGCTCTTCCTTTACTTGGCTGTTTCTGATCATGTTGTCAGCTGACATTCCGCGACCAAAAATTTTGGTCGCCAATCGTGACATTCTGCGACCAAAAAGTTTGGTCGCCAATTGTGACATTCCACGACCAAAAAAGGTTTTGGTCGCCATTTGTTACTTTTCGCGACCAAAACTTTTGGTCGGCAAAAGTGAGTTTCCACGACCAAGAGCTGTTTTGGTCGGCAATAGATGTATTTTTTGCGACCAAAACTCTTGGTCGGCAATTGTCATTTTTTGCGAAAAAAATAATTTATTTGTCGCGACTAATAAATTGGTCGCGACTAATAAAAAAATAATTTATTGTGTGTGTGTATATATATATAGATGTAGAGTTCATCAATACCTGGTAAGGAGAGGCCAAACACACAAGCACACACTATATATGTACCTGGTAAGGATAGACCAAACACACAAGCACAAACACTATATATATATATATAGAGAGAGAGAGAGAGAGAATAAGAACACCATGCCACCAATACCACTTAAAAATTGAAATGTTTTTTGAAAAACGAGATGGTGAGGTTGGACAATGAAGGGGCAAAGATCTGAGAAGTTGAAAATTATAGTTAGGGTTTGAAATTGGGGAAACGAGAGAGAGAAAGAGAGAGAGAGAGAGCGTGTTTATCTGAGATTGAGAGGATTAGCAATGGTAGAGTGTAGGCGGCTCCACACACTACCACCGAACATCCTTCCTCTCTCCGCCAAACCCATTGCTGCTCCGCCACTGCTCCTGTTTCGTTTCGTGTTAGCGCCTTCTTCGAGTTTGCTCTCTGCTTTGGCCAGTTCGGCGCCGACCTCACAGTGGGGAACCAGAGCGACACGACCATGGTGTGAGACATTTTTGGTGGTAGTGATTTTGAATGGTGGCCTAGGGTTTGTGTTTATGTGAATGTCAAAGAGAAACAGAAATAGACAGAGAGCAAAGAGAGAAACAGAGAATGGGCAACGGTGAGAGAGAGGGAGAGGGAGAGCAAGCCAATTTTTTTTATTTGTTCGGTGTTTATGTCTTCCACGTTTCAAATTTCCCTCCCAAATTTTTGGCGACCAAAAGACAATATTAGTCGCAGAAAAGTTATCTTCGCCGATAAATTTTTTTAGTCGCAAAATCTCAATCAACGGCGACTAAAATATTAGTCGCTAAAAGTACTAATTTGGCGACTAATTTTTTTTGGTTGCTGAAAATAAGTTTTTGGCGACCAAATTTTTGGTCGCCAAAAAATATGTGACCTTTTGCGACCAAATTTATAGTTGATCGGCAAAAGTATAGCACTTTCTGCGACCAACTCATTTTTTGGTCGGCAAAATATAATCTTCTGCGACCAATAATATTTGGTCGCCAAAAATAATGATCATTCGCGACTAATTAATATTTGGTCGCCAAATGTCATTTTTTTGCGACCAAATTTTTTTTAGTCGGCAAAAGTGGTCGCAAAATATGTAAATTCTTGTAGTGAACTTTGATTCCCGAATACACAGAGTTTTTTGTTTATTTGTCTATTTTTCTGACTTAGGCATCGAAGAGGTATCCGGCACACCCCCGCCGACTAGCTCACGTTTGTGTTTTTAGGGAGTAGAGCGACGTCGTACGAAGGAGTGTAGACTTAATCAACAAGATCAACTAGAGTCCCCTTGACGATTTTTAATACGCTATGGCACCATTTTGTTCACATGGAATTCTTTCTAAATCCTCATAAGTGAAATTTATGATGTGAACTCCTAATAAGACAAATCGTAGGAGATTTAGCTACAGCCCCCCGTTATAAACATTTAATAGTTGAAGGAGCTAGGAAAAAAAGTTTTTTAATTCAAGTCGTCTAAGACATCCAACATCATTTGACCATAGTATTCCCGGCACTAATAATTTGTTAGGTCATTTTTGGAATGATTTAATAACTTTTTATTTACATATTTATTTTTTATAAAATTTATATTTTTTGAATTCTCTTATTAAGATTCATCAAAAAAGATCTATAATGAATATGAATTAAAATATATATATATATATATATACATATATATAATTTCATTGACCCAAGTCAGAGAAATTTTACTAAAATCAGTTAAAAGTCACTGTAATTGACTTTAAGTTTACTGACAAAATTGCTCACAAAAATTTTAAAATTACTTAGAATCTTTGAGAGAAATTTTAAAATTACTTATTCTCTCAAAGAAATTTCAAAAATTGAATAATTGAGAAGTTAGAAAATTTTCTTTGACTTTTAGTCAAAAAACTTGGTGAATATTTTTTTCTTTTCAAAATTTCACATTCATCATAAATCTTATTTGATTGATCTTGACGAGACGATTCCAAAAATATAAATTTTACAAAATGCAGAGTTTCAGATCAAAAGTTGTTAAATTTTAAAATTTTGAAACATATTCCAAAATACAATTTGTCTACAGTAAAGAGAGAAGATGCTAGAATTTCATCATACCAATGGTTAAAAGAGCATTCTTGACATTCATGTTGAAATTTGTCCTTATCTTCATGAAATTTCAATTCTTAGGGATTTTAACTAGCAAACAAATTATCGTTGTCCTTAAACTCTTACACAAATATGTAGAGAGATCCCCCCATAATTTTTCCTCAAAAGATATTATGTTATTTAGTTATAGAAATTATGAATATGCGAATAATTTATGATGTGTACCCAGGGCCAGCCCTGAGGGCAGGCAAGAAAAGTCTGCGCCTTGGACACCCAAATTTGGGCTGAAAATATGGGCCTCCAAATATAATTTTGTGTTTTAGATATTTAAAAAAAGACCCAAATACTATAGGCCCAATAAAACATGGGGCTCAAAAAAAAAACAACAAGACTAGATTTTTATTTTTTTAAGTATTTGTAATAATTTCTTCCTATCTTAATATATAAAAGTAAATTTTTATTTATAATTTTAATGATTATATGTGCAAGTAAATTTTTTTGTGACTATAAACAAATAAAAAAGTTGTAACTTAACGTTTTATCTATAGATTTTTTTTTTTTAATGTAAAAGGGTCCCATTTTCAAAATTCACCTTGGACCCCTAAATCTCAGGGCGGCCCCGTGTGTACCCAAAAATATATCATAAGAAATAATAAACCACTTGGTGGTAAAAATTATGAAAAGGTTATTAAAATGAAAATTATCAACTATTTATCAACTATTGTGGTTATATTAAAACCAAAAAAACAATTATATATTATGTGGTAGAGAAAAAATAACAAATATGAATTGAAAGATTCTTTCGCATTTATCTTCATGTATAAGTCTAAATTTTTTGTTCTGCTACAAGAAAATTACAAATTCTCTTCAAAACACCCATATGGATTATCTAACACTTCTTCTTGTACTGTCCTTTGTGTGGACATGCATTCATGTCTTCCGGTCTAGCTCCACCGGCCGGGCCGGGCTTCCGCCAGGCCCGAACCCTTTTCCGATCATCGGAAACATTCTGGCACTTGGCAAAAGACCCCATGAATCACTCTCCAATCTCTCCAAAATTTATGGCCCTCTAATGTCCCTCAAGCTAGGGACCATGACAACCATTGTTGTATCATCACCAAGTATTGCCGAACAAGTGCTACAAAAACATGACCAAATTTTCTCTAGCCGAACACTCCCAAATGTTGTCCAAGTACTCAACCACCACAAAGCTTCCATAGTGTGGTCGTCGGCGTTGAGCCCTTGGCGAAACCTCCGAAAGATATGCAAGGAACACGTGTTCTCCACGCGTTGCCTCGATGCAAACCGAGGCCTTAGGCAAAAAAAGGTACGAGAGCTTCTTGATTACGTCAAACAAAGTTGTGAAAATGGCCAAGAAGTGGATATTGGAAAGGCTGCTTTTACAGCCACCCTTAATTTGCTATCAAACACCTTCTTCTCCATTGACATAGCTCACCATAACTCAAACTTTTCTCAAGAGTTTAAGGATTTGGTATGGGCCCTAATGGAAATTGCTGGGAAACCTAATATTGCAGACTATCTTCCATTGTTTAAATTGATTGACCCACAAGGTTTACAAGGTCAGACAAAATCTTATATGCAAAGGTTATTTGATATATTTGATGGGATTATTAATCAAAGGTTGCAATTAAGAGCTTCTGTGTCTTCTCCAACTATTGATGATTTCCTAGAGGTGCTTCTCAATCTCAGGAAAGAAAATGATACCCAGTTGAGCTGCAATGACATAAAACACTTATTTCTTGTGAGTAAATATGAACAAATAAACTTTCTTTCTTTTTTTCCTATGACTTTTTCATTTGGATAAATCATTTTCACGCTTTCATTGAATTTTTGAACAATTTGACCCATAACACTCAAATAATAATAATTTTTTTTTTCTTTTTCATCCTATTGATGTTGCCTATATGATCACCATAATTTCATTATGTTCAATCTAAATTATACCATTATTAGAGTGTTAAGCATGTTAATGATTTTCGTAGACAAACCTTGACATTTGTTTTACATTACTTGAGGTTGGTTGTAGTGGGTTGAGAGGCTAGGATGAGTGTTCAAAACTGTTGCAATTTGAAGCTCAAAGCCATTGATCTTATCTTAGATTTGGAGTTAAATATTTGCCACTTGTCTTGTCTTATATTTGTATTGCATTGGATTTAGTATTCGCGTTTTAAATTCTACACAAGAGTGGTGATTCATCCCACTAATTTTTGGACCACTAATAGCTCTAATGAGCTTAAAAAATAAAATAAAAAACAAACTCAAGCCAAAACATCACATCACTTTGGTGGGGGCCACTGTGCCACATCATTAGTGATGCTCTAGAGCTCCCAATTTAGTGCTCTAAAACATTATTCTTCTACACAAATTTGGCCAAATTAATCTTATCTTATATTTGGAGTTAAATATTTGAGGAAAAAAAAAGATTGAGAACCAAGTCTTGAGGGCCCACTTGAAGCTTATCCAAAGGGCGTTTGTACGAGCCATTAGGAGTTGCAGAGCAAGATCTTATACCCAAAGTGTGTTTGAACTTTGAAGCTTACGGATTGTAACATCTTATCTTTTGTCTAGTCCTAATTGACTCATAGTTGCTTTGCATACCTACTATTTGTTGTTTTGAGTAACAAAGTAATGAGGAGCAGAGATATATATACGAAGAGTTCCATGGATTACGATCAGATCAAGAGTTTCATGGAGCAGAGATATATGTGAAGAGTTCCATGGATTTATATTTGTGGAATACTACAGATATTAAGATACAAAATTTTATTAATTGGCAATAATTCTTAGTGATTTGGCCTATTCACTCCTATTGATACAAAATAGCCCATCTCAGTGAGTTCAACTATCATTATTATTATTATTCTCGTACCATCCATAGCCTTCTCTTATCATCATCAGTATTAGTGATGAAAAAGTTGCACCTAGTCACTTTGATGTGTTTCTAAAACAAAATAATGTCATTTGTTCATGAAAGCAACTTACTAACTTTACTTTATATTAGGACTTATTTGTTGCAGGAACAGACACAACTTCAAGCACTGTGGAATGGGCAATGGCAGAATTACTAAAAAGGCCTAAAATTTTGGCAAAAGCACAAGCTGAGCTCAAAGAAGTCATTGGTAATGATGGAATAGTGCAAGAAGCAGACATCTCTAGGCTACCTTACTTACAAGCAGTTGTAAAAGAAATCCTTCGGTTGCACCCATCAGCACCATTACTACTCCCCCATAAAGCCGAAGCTAACGTAGAAATAAGTGGTTTCATGGTGCCCAAGAATGCACAAGTTCTTGTTAATGTATGGGCTATTGGGCGAGACTCAAGCATATGGTTACATCCAGATTCATTTGTACCTGAAAGGTTCTTAGACCTTAAAGTTGATATGAGAGGCCAAGATTTCGAGCTCATTCCTTTTGGCGCAGGAAGGAGGATGTGTCCAGGAATACTGTTGGCGTATCAGATGGTGCACTTCATGTTGGCTTCTCTTCTTCACTCCTTTGATTGGAAGCTTGGAGGAGGAATGGAATCAAAAGATATAGACATGAGCGAGAAGTTTGGAATTACTTTACGTAAGGCCATACCTCTCAAGGCTATTCCAATTTCCAATTAAAGTGTCTATTATGTAATATTGTTGTAATGTTATAATTCCCATGACTTTGATGGACAAAATACTTATTATGACTTTCATAATTTTCAGAAAACTGAAATAATCAAAATGATAATTTTGTTTGTGAAAAAAAAAAATACCCAAGTCAGTAAATTACTTATTTTTGGTCCAATCTCCATAGATAAAATATTGGGGGATAATCCTCCTCTTACTTGTAAAGCCTCTTTATTTAGATGGAGGCAAGAATTGATTAGAATGTCTGGTTAAAGTGTTAGACTGATTGAACTTTCAAAAATCATTTTTATTTTTTGCTTTTTGAAAACTATTAAAAGACATAAAAACCATATAGCGATCCCGGGTTTACTCTTGTTGTACAGTGATCCGGACATGTGTCCGTGGATGTTGGTAGTTGTTTATTATCTTGTTTGCATCCTCTTTACTTTGTATATTGAGTTATAGGATGTGTTGGGCAGGTTTGTTACAGGTTGGTTGTGTTTGGGAGCCTAGTGCTGCTGCCCAGATTTTTGGACCTTCGCTCGAGCGAGGAGTTGGTCGCTCTAGCGAGAGTTGAGTTCGTGTCTGGTGGATCGAGCCAGAGTGGCTTCACTCGAGCGAGCAATTGCGTCTGGTTCTGGACCTGAGAGTTGCATTTCTTGGCTCGAGCGAGCTTTCTTCGCTCGAGCGGTCTGGTTTGTTCTTCGCTCGAGCGAGAAGTCTGTCGCTCGAGCGTGCTTCTGGTTGCAGACCTGAGGGTTTGAGTTGTTGGCTCGAGCGAGCATTCTTTCGCTCGAGCGCGCACTCTGAGTTTTGGCTCGAGCGAGAACTTCTTGGCTCGAGCGAGAGTTTTTCTGTCTGGTCGCTCGAGCGACAAAGGCTTCGCTCGAGCGAGCGTGTTTTATATCAGCGGACAGTAGCATTTTTGAACATCAGTTTTTCACTTTCTTTTTCTTTCAAACCCTAGATCCGAGACTCTCTCTGTCTAAACTTACACTCTCTCTAAGATTTGATCTCCCTAGAGTGTGAATCTAGCCTAGGGCCTTTGTTAAAAAGATAGAGGGCGTTGAGAGCTTCGACTTAATCTGAAAAAGTTTGGATTTGGAGCACGTTGATCTTCGAATCTTCATCTCCTTTTTGGCTCAAACTTCGAGGTAGGGATATCCTACTCCTCTCTATGGGTTTTGTCTTTAAATTTTAGTATTTTGAGATGTTGGGGTTGGTTTGGTAATTTTGTGAAAGTTCGGGGCTTTTGTGTAATTTTACAAAAGTTGAGGTTTTATTTATAATAAACCTAGATGCATGTTCGGCATAGAGAAATGGAATAAATGTTGAATCATTGATGAAAATGGGACCTAAGGGTTGAAATGTTAATTATGGAAATGACCTAATTACATTGTTTGATTAATTGGGATAATTAATTGTGAGAATGAGGTAATGAAATAAAATTGTTGAAAGTGGAATGCAAAGGGTTAAAGGGTGTAGTTGAATTAATTGTCACTCACCGGAAATGAAATGTTGATTGAATATCCATTTGTACATTTATTTTCTATTTAGAAATAATTGCTTTGGGCTATCGGTGGAGGATAGTCGTGATTGTTGTAGACAATGCATGATAATTAGGCAAACGGAAACTAATCAATGGAATGTGTCATGGAATTTGACGGTTGATGGAATACATTAACTGTATGTATTGAGTGATTGTATATAGAACCAATGTGTTTATATGCGTTATGTGTAGAGGAGGAGATGGGGGATGTACTCCGCAGTTTAGGGGAAGATGGGGGATGTACCTCTAAACCGGATAGTGTTGGGAGAAGATAGGGATGAACTCCGTAGATACAGCTCATATGCTTGTCTAGAGAAGTGAAGATAGAGCTGAGCTTATATGCTTATCTTTGTGAAGTGTGGATACAGCTTATCTGCTTCTCAGTGAATGTGGGATATTGTTGTTATACATATCTGTTGAGAATGTGGATACAGCTTATATGCTTATCTGTGAATGTGGGATATAGTTTTTATACATATCTGTTGAAATAATGATAGAGCTAACATGTTTATCTGTTGAAAAGGGGAAAATGAGAAGTAACCTGGACTCATAAGTCGTGTGACATAAATATGTGATTTATGTGAATGTATCAGTGTTGGCCATCTATCAATTGCTAATCTTTAGTCATTGTTCATGTGGTTGGTTTAGTGTATTTCTACTGGGCTGTGGCTTCACCCTATATGGGAATATCATTTTTCAGGTACAGGTAGCATGCCATCTCCAAGGACATAGCTTGGGAGGCTAGAGGCGGACATACTTTTATCGTTTTACTTTTGATGTATTACATGTAAATCCAAGCCAAGGGCTTAATGTGTAAATGAGTTAGTACTCTTTTTGTTGTAACCAAGTGTTAACTTGGAAGCTGTAAGCCCGTAGGGCATTTTTGCTTTTGTTGTTAACATGTAATACTTATGTAATGAAACCCTGATGAATAAAGAAATGTGGTTATTTCATATGTCAAACGAATGTCTTATTTGATGGGTTTAATGTTATTATTTTGAGGGCGTTACAAACTTGGTATCAGAGCGTACCGGGTTCGAATACTTTGGGTACGTGGGAAGTGATTAGTATCACAATGGGTTTGTCTCGCTTGATAGAGACTTTGATGTAGTATCATATGCTATGTGCTTAATTGATAACATGCTTATGTGACTATGTGGGTAGGGATTTAGTTTCTGGATTTGATCTGGATCTTGGGTTTTCTGGGAGCTTTTGGAAAAGCACTTGATCAATGCTATTCTCTGACCGGAGCTCATAGTATAGCCTCGGGACTATCATTATCCGGAATGAAATGTCGTAAGTGCTTATGTGTTTATGTGCTTACGTTGGAGTGAATTACAGTTGTCGCATGCATTAGGACGTGAGTGTTTTAGTTTCAAGCAACATTGTGAATGTGCTAAGTTCTGTGTTACCTTTTATTAGGGATGTCAGACGAGGAAGGTTGCTAGGCGTGGTAGACCCTGCGAACAGGAAGTACGTTACCCTTGAGGGGTGAGATTCCGGCTGTGCAAGAGGGAGTTGTCAAGCATCGTGGCCCAAGCCAGTGGGTCAGCAGGCCCATGGGTTTGTTTGGCCAGAGAAGATAGCAGGAGCTTTGGGTATTCTTAGAGCTGGCGAATCAGGCAGCTGAGGCAGGGCGGCGGCCTTCTTTCTTGAAGAGGGAGTTTTTCCGGATCTAAATCCGGATGAGTTTATCGGATCCGAAGGAGCCACTGAAGGTGATGAGCTGGCTAGGCAAATGAGTAAGACGTTCGAGATTGCTTTGGCATCGAGGAACGGAAGCAACCTGAAAGTGAACCTTGGAATCCTTCCAGCTGAGGGAGATCGGGTCCAATGGTGGAAGTACAAGAAAGGCTCGGTGTTGGTGGTACTGTGGGAAAGGCCCGTTTTGTGAAATTGTTTTTCAGGAGAGGGTTTTGTCTGCAGCAGCTAGGGACGAAGCTTAGGAGCAGTTTAGAGCCGGCTAAACAGGAGGGCTTTGTCAGTGGCCGAGTTTGGGCTACTTTTACCTATCTGTCCAGGTTTTGCACCGGAACTAGTGCGTCCTGACGGAACGCCAGTGCTATAGTTTTTTGAAGGCGGAAGTTGAGGCGGGCCTCAAGTTGAGAGTGGTGGGTCTTATTCCGAGAGTATAGACACCTGGTAGATGCCTGCTGCTCATATGGAAATTATGATGCAGGAAAGAGGAAGAAAGAACAGAGGGGCTCAGAGGAGCCAGATGGTCAGAGATGGCAGGAGGCAGAGGGGATTTATAACCCTCACAGTCTCGGGAGGAGCAGTTCTAGATCGACCTTCCAGTGCCGGTGCAAGCTCAGGGAGAAGGCAGTCAGGGGGAGTTTGCTTGTTACAAGTGTGGCCAGCTGGTCACAGGTTTCCGTTTTGGCCCGCAAGAAGGGTGGGGTCAGAAAGCTGACTTCTTTCTTCAGCTAAGACGCGCCAGAGTCAGAGTTTGGGCAGGGGGCAGCCCTTTGTCTTGTTATCAGTGTGGACAAACCTGGGCCCCTGAAAGTTTGCCCGCATTGAAACTGCCACTTCCGGGAGCCGTTGGTTCTAAGGCAGGACGAGGGTTTTCAAGCGCAGCTCAGTCCTGTGCAGGCCTCGAGGGCCAATCCGGGGAGCTTCGCAATCCCAGTCTGTTGCAGCAAGTCTTTTGCTCCGAGAGGTGAGCAGGTAGGCCAGCGGGCCTAACTAGGGGCCGTGTATGCTGTTTACCGCGCAGGATTTAGCACCGGCTTCCATTGGTATGAGAGGACTTTTTCTTGTTTTTGCAACTCGGTTGCAGTCGTGTTGAATTGACAACGGGTGGCATCTCATTCTTTTGTAAATCTGCTGCATTTGGCATCTGTTTGATTGGAAGTTAGCAAAGTTAGCATCTCCTATTTGTGGTGGTATCGCCTTTGGGTGGTGATTGATCCTGAAACAAGGGTGTTAAGGGGATGTGACATATGAGGTCGCCGACTTAGGCTTCATTTTCCCGTTTGTTGTCTGCCCATGAAGGGTTTTTTGTGTTATTGGGTATGGACTGGCTATCGCATACCGGGCCTGTTATCGATTGCACCGTCGCCAGAGGTCACGTTTATGTACCTTGAGGCGGGGAGTGGTTCCATTTCTTGGGAGATCTGGGTTGGTAAGTGGTTGCCAACCGGGGTATGATTCGCGAGGGCGAAGTGAGCTTTAAGTGGTCTCTGCCAGCTTTGAGAGTTGTGAGAGTGGTGAAGACCTAGATTGGTCTTGCTGAAGGTGGTTGTGAGTATTCGGCATTCCTTTCCCGAATCTTGTTAAGTTTTTTGGCCCACCTCACCCGAGAGATAAGAGTTTCTCTATGATCTAGTTGCCCGGCACGGCGCTCGATTTCTATGACACCTTACCGGTTTTGCTTCCAGCAGAGTTGGTTGAGTGAAAAGTTCAGCTCCAGGAATGCTCGATAAGGCTTTGTTCGCCCAGTGTTTCGCCGTGGGGAAGCAACCGCCCTCTTGTTAAAAAAAAAGATGGTGCCTTTGAGAATTGTGTATTGACTAACCGGAAGTTGAATCGGGCTACCGTTAAGAAAAAGTAACCCTAATGCCCTATAGATGAATTTTTTGACCATTTGAA